ATACTATATGTTCAAAAGTTTTTTGGTACTAAACGATTATAATAAAAATTTATAAAGAATGCAGGAGTAAAAGGTATGTATAACCAATCAAATTATGATAATCTTGTGCAGATTATTCTAGAACTCAATTCCTAATTTGGTATATTGTCAGACTGTATTAAGGTCCTTTCTAAAATTGATTATGCCAATTTTGGGTATTGCCCGTTAAAGCAATAGATAGATATAAATAGTTAGCGATAGTTATAAATAAATGCACATTTTGTATTATCACAACTGGTATTATTTCGGTAATATATAATTTTATCACATCGAAGCCATAAATAAAAATTCTTTATCATCAGTCAGTATGTATATATGTTTAACCATTTATTGATCATTTAATTTTATTCATTTTAATGTTGATATTTCAAGAAATTGGGGGGCTAACTGTAATTATTCAATCATTCAATAAATTGCCAGAATGAGTATAATGCTTAATTCTGTTCATTTAACGTCGAAATAGAGGGTTAACCATAATTATTTGATTGTTCAATAAATTACTAGAGTGAGTATGAAGTTTGATTCTATTCGTTTAATGTTGACAGATCAAGAAAATACTGGTTAACTATAATCATTAATCGTTTAATAAATTACTAGCGTATGAAATTTAACTTTATGCAATTTAATGTGATACTTCAAGAAAATAGGGGATTAACCGTAATAATTTAATCATTCAATAAATTAATGAAATATCTATGGCCTCAAATTCAATCTTGAATGTTGACTTGTGTGAAACTACAGTGCTTCACTATAATTAATTATTAATATGTGTTTATAGCTTCTTCTACGTGTGAATTTTTTAAGTAAAAAATTTTAATCAGATCAAGAAGCAAATATAGCATTGCAATATGTAACATTTACAACCTCATTTAATGATTATTATATTTGAGAATCATAAGATATATTGTTGCAATTTAGAATAGATTATTTTTAATTATAACGATTTTGAAAGTTAAATAATAATTATAATAAATATTAAAGCACTAAAGTATATTAAACCATCTTTAGTTAAATTTAATCTGAATCAGAAGCAAATGGGCTTCGTCTCATAATTTTTTCACTTTGCAACTCATAATTACAATTATTGCCTTTGCAACTAATAATACAACGCAATTGTTAACATGCAGCAGTAAATTTGATCATGTGTATGTACAGAAAAACCTCCTTAAATGTATCTTTTCTAAATGCATTACCTTCATAGATGAATTTATAGACTTTAGTCCAAACTTCTTAATCTTCTTAAATGCCTCTTTTTTTTTTTACTGTTCTCTAAATGCATACTGCCAACAGTTTGGTCTGAATGAAATGCATTTAGGAAGGTTTTTCTGTAATTTTAATAGTGTAACAAATTAAATCTTGTAAATTAAATTAATGATGTAACTAAGGTTACTGCCGTAATAGGTTTACTAGAGTTGAAAGGTGTTGTGATAGATAATCTGATTATGCTATTAAATAATTGCGCAATGCAGTCACTCTAAACCAGACATTCACAAGGTAAGCTATTACACATCTGTAATGGTGAGCAAGACACAATTATATATATTTTTATTTACGATTATTATTTTAATTACAACCATTACAGCATTATGTCAATTATGACCAGTATGACATATTTACAACTTTGAGTATTAGTTGTAATTTAGTTGTAATTAGGGTTGCAACCTGGGTTGTAATTACTAATGGCTGGCAACACTATTGACTGCTTACGCAGCTGATCATCATTTATATTTTATGCAAAATTTCGCTTGCCCAGAATATAACTATTACTAATTTATAGTATTCAAGTATAATTTATTAAAATTTTTAAATAAAATTCTTTGACAAATATAAATATATAAATAAGGATATTCAGAACTTGATCAAAGTTTTAAATAATTTCAAAATATAAAATTTTTAATAATCATATTACTATTATATTATCTACTTATTTAAAATCTATCATATTATTTATTTATTTTATTATTCTATTATAACTATGACATTTAGAAAAGATCAATTAAAAAATATTATTAATCTTGTTAAACTTGCTGAATCAAATGAAGATGCAATGAATATTGATCAAGGTACCGAATTTGATAAATATTTGGTGCTTTATTATAAAATTTTAAATTCTGAAATTTGTTATAATCAAATTCCTAAATCCTATGACTGGGTTCAAAATTGCTTATTTAATTATAGAGATAAAGAGTTTAGAAAAATATTAAGAATGGATAAATCAACCTTTTGGATGTTAGTTGATAAAATCAAATTTCATCCAGTTTTTTATTCGAATTCGAATCATAATCAAACAGATATAGCTATACAACTTGTAGTTGTATTATATTGACTTGGATCAAATGCTTCTCTTTGGACTATTGCAACTTTATTTAAAAAATGTGAACAAACAGTTCTTAATTTTCTAGATCGATTAATTATTGCT